CCGATCCCAGCCGTAGTGGGCACCCCGTATCCAGAGGTGTTACAAATAATAATAAATAGCATTTGTATAGCGCAAATCCCCGCTCAACAGCAAGCTCTATGCGCTTCACAATCATACTATTACCCCAGCAGAACTAGAGCATTCTGAAACAACCTCAACTTCCCGGGAAGCATACAGTGCAAGCAGCCATTTATATGCGCTAAAACACTAACATACTGACAAGATCTTTCGCTGTCTATGGCCGGGTACCCATTCCCACCTGGGTGAAGTGAGGAAAATTCGTGAAAAGTGCCTTTCCCAAGGACACAACGTCGGGCCCGCGGCTCGAACCCCCGAACCCGCAATCTCACAATTACGAGTCAGGTAGCCTAACCACTAAGCCACCGACGCCACAAGAGGGTAACAAGCATAAAAAAGTAGGAGGGGAGATAAGGACGATAGATGTTTGATAGGAAAGAAGGAGCAAACCGTACCAGAGCACCCGCCAACCACCTACAGGGAGAGATGAGGACGATGGGTGTTTGACAGAACTTAAGGAGCAAACCATTCTAGAGCACCCGCCAACCACATACATTTTCAGCTTCAAATAAGATTCAAGCTACAAGCATGTACTTACTACCCACCAATATTTTACTAAAAGAATGAAGATTTGATACAATGCGAGGATACAGTAAAGTACAGGCAAGCGGTTATATATTATGACAAATTAGGACGTTAAAAACACACATACACACACACACACATACACACACGCGCGCGCACAAAACAAAACAACAACAACAACAACAACAACAACAACAACAACAACAACAACAACAACAACAACCCAATCTAGTCAATAGATGGGCTGACTTCTACGAGTCAACGCAACTTATAATTAATTAGTTTGTTTGTTTGAGTAAAGAGGAGCACATCGATTCAATATAATTCTTTACATGAAGGGAAAACAGTAAAACAGAAAAAAGAAGTAAGACCAACCAGTGGCGCCCTACAACCTCCAGCTGACTTTAGTCTGCGTTAATACAAACAAAACGACATGACGATGTTCTGTAACGGCAAGCAAAAGCAAACAGTCAGAAAGAACAGAAGCAAACAAAACAGGAAGAACATATCAGTGGCGCCCCCCCCCCCCCCCACACACACACAGACACACACCTCCCCACCATCTGCGTGACAAACACAACAAGGTCATTCAAGAGACAGAAAGCCAGGTGTTTCGCCGGCAAAAACTGTTTTCGTCGTCTGTTCAGCAGTGTGAGCTGAGAATATTATTGTGGTTTTAGCGGCAAAACATTTTGTAAGTAGTAGTAGTAGGAGTAGCAGCAGCAGCAGCAGCAGCAGCAGCAGTAGTAGTAGTAGTAGTAGTAGTAGTAGTAGTAGTAGTAGTAGTAGTAGTAGTAGTAGTAGTAGTAGTAGTGG